CCGATCCTGCATTAGTAGATTATGAACTTGACTAATTTTATTGAAGTAAACAATTAACTTTAGGAGAGAAGATAGCAGGTAGTTAGCAGCATGTTGTAACAACCAGTCTAACAGTGCTATTCAGGATGAACTAAGGAAACACAAACAATTGTATATGGACCAACGCAATTCAAGCTAATACATCTTGTCACATACTCAATCATTGTATGATGAGAATTATGAAGCTAGGCATGTTATGATTGGCAATGATGACAATGACCATATACACCCAAAAACCCTGCAGGCCAATATCGAACTCACCCTAACCTAGTTGGCAATGGCCAAGAAGGAAGGGCAGCCTCACTATGCATGCATGTTAATTGGGTATAGTAGTGAAGAAGTAAGATTGAAGATCACATGCATTCAATCTATACTCAGTAAAATGATCATTTTTTGTGTCAAGAACAATGAAGACATTGCATGGCCACCCTAGGGGTCCACTTTTGGGTGTGTTATGTTACTACGTAAAATATGTATTCTTCAATTCGTTGGTTGATATGATATATGCAAACTTGATTATATATAGTTGGTGGTCCTATCCTAGAATGTTAGGGATGATGTTACTAGAATACAAAAAGGAAGCCTAGCTAGCTAGGGTATAGTAGCTAGGAATGGAAGACCAATTCAAAAACGTTGTTTAATTTAATTTATTGAAGCTAGCTTGCTATGGTGATATTAATGATTACAACCAATTAAAACAACCCAAAAGGAGAAATTTTTGGAAAGTGGTCTTAGTACAGTGCACCGGCCATGTGTTGGAGAACTCAAGCAAATATTGTTCCAACATTTTGTATTTCTATTACTACTTCTTTATCTTATATACAACTTAAATAACCATCTAAAAAGTCAAATTCAACAATCGTCTGAAAATTTAAATTCAATATTTTAATTTTCTACGTATATTTGAAATGTGATACCAATAGTTATGCAAGTGTAAGAAAATAAATTTATATTTTCACTATATGTTATAGTTTTATACCGTCTTATTGTTAAAAATGATAATTTGAAATGTCGAGTTTAATATCTTATCACATGCTATTTTATTAAAAATAATATTAAACAAAAAAGCTAAACGCTTTTAAAATAAAACAATAGATAGGCAAGGTGCTCTTTTTAAAAAGGTTTAGATGTCTTTTTTCAATAAATTTCAGTACAACCAAATAAGCACTAATTACATACCCAAAAAAAAAAAAAAAAAAAACTAATTAATTAAATATATAATTAATACTCAATGGTTTACAGCTTTTAGCTTATCTATTATTCTATAAATAGTCATTATAGTGTTGATAATTGCGGAATGGCCCTCATAATGCAATCAACCACTACCCAAAGGTAATAGCTTATAGCTAGGTAGTGTCCAATCAAAGAATTGTGAACTTAGGGCCCCTCCATGCATAGTGTGGAAAAAAAAAAAAAAAAAAAAAAACTGATATCTTAACTTCAAACCAAGCCACATTATGAACCCTATGAATTAGTACTTAAGATTCATAAGAAGATAAATCACGACAATCAATTTCAATACTCAACACCAAATTATACATTTCTCCTTCATGCATAGTCCATACCTTCAAATGAAGAAACACTACTTATACTCATAAAAAATATTCTATTCACACGTTTTGCATTAATGAAATGAAATGAAAATTAAAAAAAAAATACTATTAAAACTAATAAATTTCCTGTACAACATGCTCGAGGTTTGCAGCTAGCTGATATACTCTCAGTTTAAAGATATATCGTATTTTATTGAAGGTTAAATAAAATATTTCTTGACCTAAGAAAATATTTTCTTTACGTCTTTAATTATATATTGTTTTGTTTTGAATTTTATCTTATTTTTGATTTTTTTTTAAATAATCAACACCTATAAAAAAAAAAAAAAAAAAAAAAAAAAGGAGTGTATATATATAGTAAAATTGGTTGCAAAAATAGGAGTATATATATAGTAAAATTGGTTGCAAGAATTGGTTTTCTTGTCCCAGAAGCTACCTTGGGAAACCTCTAGCTAGTTTCATCTCTAGCTTCTTTTCAACTCCATGTCTTGCGGTCTCCTGTTCCTCATAATTTTGTCTGGAGAAATTTTTCTTTATTTTATTATTATTATTGTAGAATAAATAATGTAATCAAAAGGGTATTTCCCACTTTACCTTACTTTCTCCCTTTCACAACTAATTATTGCATCAAAACCATAAGGCGGCTTTCAAGTAGTCATCTTTTATAATGACAAGTTTGCTATTAATTTATTTATTTAATCAGAGCTAAGGTATAATAATATTTGAGCTTTGGAAATGTATATAGCTATCGTTTTGTTATCCTTTGAGATCCTATTTATCATGAACATGATTAATTTTGATATGTAAGGTCATAATGTACTTTATTTGTATGGTCTGAGTTTTTGTTTGTGTTAAGTAGAACCATAAAGAGTGACAAACCAGTACTATATCATAAATTTTAAGATAATTGTGTTATCAGAGTTTGAATAGTATCGGTTCATAACTACTTTCTTAACCTACAAGTACAAGAGTCAATAACGCCTCACAACCTTTCATATGGGAGTCCATCCTGAGTATCATTAGATCACAAGATCTTGACGAATCTAAAGTCTTTAGTTGATGTGAAAAACACTATTATCATTGTTAAATCTAAGCCATTTATTGTGTTGATGATCTTGTTCAACATTTGTTGATGGGGCCATATCACAAAGCTTACGATGGACGCTAGCGTACGCAACCAGGTTGCGCTACACCCTACACCGGATTCTCCAAATCCAAGGTGTAATTGCTCAAAAGCAAAGGAAGATCTCACTAATTATTAGCTTACAATATTTATCCTAATTTGCTTATATTACCCAAAACTATTCACATATTGGGTTTAGATCCCTCAATTAATTAATCTAGCTACTTCTCTATTTTCATTCATTTTTTTTTTTTTAAATAAAAGAGCTGATTCATTAATCATACGATGAAAAATTTACAATAAGATCGATGGAATGACAAAACATTCTTACAATGAGATACTGAAACAAATTCTCAATGATACACGAAACTTGAATCTCTGACTGTTTTTCAAGATTAAAACTGAATTCGTTTAGAGAACCTGAAAATTCTTTGATATTGTTAATGATCTTGTTACCTAAGTTTGACTCTATTGCGACTCTTCTGTTCATAGACAATATCTCCATTAATCTGAAACGCATATCAATGTTCAGATCTTCTTTGGTGCTCGGAATGAAGCAAACATACTCCATTATTATTTAAATTGTTTCACCTTATGAAAAAAGAACTCATCAAATAAACGAGAGAAAAACTCGCTAAAGACACAAGAGGAAATAACTCGCAAACGAAACGAGAGGAAATAACTTTGACAAAATAACATATGAAAATCAAATCTAAAACAGTCAAAACAAATCTTAAATAACAAACCACTAACTAATATATATATCTCGTCAATATATATATTATTGAACTGCTAAAAAAAGGTAAATTGTGAACACTTGAGAAGTCTCAAATTGAGAATTTCATCTATCCACGTGGCAGCAGGATAAGAGGAGGTCCACGTGCACCCGAAAAGTAGGAGATGAGAGCCGAGAAAGAAGACAAGTGTTAAGTACAAAGCAAGGGACATTTCTGACATTTGGGTCAAAATTGAGTTCCCCGACCAGTGTGAGCACGTAGATTGTCCGTGCTAATCAACATTTTGTAGTTTTACCCCTTTTGTTTACCCCAATTTGCCTTTTCGTCCCTACTTGTTTTCCCCTTTTGCTACATCTCTATCTTTTCTTGTTGGAATAATCCAAATGCTTTTACTCTTATCTCTCAACTCTCATCTTATTTTTTTTCTTCCTTTAATTGTATTAATTAAATTTTATATACAATATTAGACCTAATTATAACATCATTATATAATACAAAACGCATCAGTAAACATATTTTATTTTAACTAATTAAATAGATATACTGTTTAAAAAAATTAAAATTTTCATCTCTCAATTATACTACCATTATATTTATACCTTAATTGTCTAGATAATAACTTTTCCAATCCCTCAATTTTTTTGAGAATTAATTTTTTAATCCAATCATAATAAAATTAAGGACATAAATTACATTGCATGCAATTAAATGATAAAAACCCGTAAAGAGTATAATTGAGGAGTGAAAAGTGTGTGTATTTATTTATTTATTTATGTTTATGTTTTTTCTTTTAATTTAAGGACAATATGAATATTTTTTTAATTAACTATATGTTTTATTTACTCGTAAATTAGAATTACATCGAGATAAATATATTAATACTAATTAAGACTTTATTTTTAATCTTCACCCATGAGTGTAATATGAAACTAATTAATTCCAAGAGGCTTACGACTGAATGCATCAGTTTGGGAGTTCAAGTTCCACTGAAACATGAACGGGAAAAGAACACGGGATGATATGGAATGCGTGGATTGAATACTTTTTGTGTGTATGAAGACTAGTGTTTACGAGTGGGCTGGATCCATTATGTGTGCATAAAGACTATGGTCTAATAATCAGTGAGCTGATTGTGCGATTCACAGTTTACCTATGCGGTAATTCTAGGAGTAGTGTGTTATGAATTTAAGATTAGTTTAATAAAACTGAGATCACCTAAATATATAAAAAATTATGGAACTAATTCTCATAGACATTATCGATGATTAGGTAACCTTATCATTGCTCCCTTGATAATAAATGCAGCAATACCCATGCTAGCTCTAACAACATAGGTTATATCTCATTGTTATCCACTTATCAACACAAAATTAGATTTTGTATATTTGATTAGCATATACTCCGTATCATGAAATGCTATACACAGTATAATAATTATTTGTGGGCAATATTAATATTAATCATTAAATAAATGAGGTTTGAATTCATAATATAATCATGATTTTGACTGTAATGATCTCAAGAAGTTTGAATTTGTTAACCACGATTCTGACTTTAATGATCTTGCTACTTGCAATTTGTGCTTATGAAATCCTTACTGGCTGGCTGCATTTATGAAGAAAAAAATGAAGCTTTTGTGAACAGTGAAAATGGGAATTAATTTGGAAAAAAACAAAAGTGTGGTCATATTTTTTTGGGGAAGACAACTGCAATGCAATGGAATGGGGAGAGGGAAAAAAAGTGGTAAAAGAAAGCATTGGGAAAATGTCTTCTCACACTCGTACACAGTAATGGTGTTTTCTTTCTTTTCTTCTTCTTAGAAGAATTTGGACTCCCTTTTCTTCCCTCCTCTTTGACTCAATCTAACAACGCTTCTCCGCCGGAGTTAATCTCTTTCTCTCTCTCCATATCCGCCTCCGTCTGTATTCTTCTCCGGCCGCCGCCGCCGGAATTTTTGAATTTCCCTGGTGGGTCAGCGGGAACGCCGATAAAGACTCTCTTTTTTCGGTCACCGGAGGGTACTAACAATGTGGGCTGCGCTTTGCCGGTAGGGAAAAGGTAACGGTGGTTTCCGGTGAAGCTCTCCAGATCTGTGGGTATTCACAGAAGAGTTGAAAGGTGGAGGCTTTTTAAGCTAGGGTTCCGGTAATTGGGTGGTGGTCTGAGGAAGCGTGCCCCGGCGTCGCCGCCGTGGCTGATGATGACCGGAGATTTTGAGGGCGGAAGGTGGTTCTGCGCTTCTTCATGGAATGGCGGATCGTGACATTTTGCAGGTGCCCTTAATCACTACAAGTCTATTTTTTGAGTAAAGATTGAATCTTTATGCTCAATTTTGTTTTTTTTTTTAAGCTTTGGATTGTGATAGCGATTTAGCACTTTGGATACTCTTAAGTCTTACCAGAGCCATTGATGTTAGTAGTTTAGTGCTCTTACTTTTAACCACTCTATAAAGTCATACGTTATTTGCCACAAATTCTATGTATGAAGCTGACTCATAGTATGCTCATGCAGTATTTCTGTTCTGGAAACATAACAATTACAATTCATTCCTTTCTGCAGGCATTGGGTGCTTTAAGGAAAGGTGGTCATTTTCCGAGATATGGGCTCAAGGGAAGGCCTAAGTTTTGTCCATTTCGACTTTCTAATGTAAGTTGAATTGGTTTCCTAGTGTTCTCTAATGGTAGTTTTGCTGTATTAGCTATGGTATTTGTGAAGTTTTCAGCTTTTTGTGTGTAATTTGCTGTATGGTTATGGTTCTATATGTGTTGTGTCCAGATTATCGGCCTTGTGGATTTCTCTGATTGTGTTCATAACTTTGGATTTCTTCACGTGCTGAGAGAGACCGTGCTGGAAAAAGAACTGTGAGGTTTTCGAATTGCCTTGTTTCTTACTTGTAACTGTGAAAATGTCAATCAGTCCAAGCTCGAATTCTTTTAGTGCTAAAAGGGAAAGTAGCTCTTCTTGGGCTTCTATTGGTTCTAACCCAAACGTTTCTCCTAAGCACTCTCGAGCTGATTCCAGGAGTTCACATTTGTCTTTGGATCAAATGAGTGCACAAAATATGCAAGTAAAAGCTTCTAATTCGGATGTGCTTAGGGTTAGTGTTTCGAGTGCCCCCAGCACTTCTAGCCATGGTTCTGCTCCAGATGATTACGATGCTTTAGGTGATGTATATATATGGGGTGAGGTAATATGCGATAATGTTGTCAGGGTTGGTCCCGAGAAGAATGCTAGTGCTTTAAACACCAGAACCGACATTCTTCTTCCGAGGCCTTTAGAATCCGAGGTTGTGCTGGATGTAAATCATATAGCTTGTGGTGTAAGGCACGGTGCCCTTGTGACTAGGCAAGGCGAAGTTTTTACGTGGGGTGAAGAGTCCGGTGGGCGGCTTGGCCATGGTGTCGGGAAGGATGTTACTCAGCCCCGCCTCGTTGAATCTTTATCTTTTCGTAGCGTTGATTTTGTTGCGTGCGGTGAATTTCATACTTGCGCTGTTACGATGGATGGCGAGCTCTATACATGGGGAGATGGCACGCACAATGCTGGGGTTCTAGGTCACGGTTCTGATGTTAGTCACTGGATACCTAAGAGGGTTTCGGGTCCTCTCGAGGGGCTTCAAGTCTCGATGATATCTTGTGGCCCGTGGCATTCCGCCTTAATCACATCAACCGGGCAGCTGTTTACATATGGCGATGGAACATTCGGTGTGTTAGGACACGGGGATAGAGAAACCGTTTTGTTTCCCCGAGAGGTTGCTTCTCTGTCGGGATTAAGAACGGTTTCGGTTGCGTGTGGCGTGTGGCACACGGCTGCTGTTGTGGAGGTCATCGTTACTCAATCTAGTGCTAGTGTTTCGTCGGGGAAATTGTTTACTTGGGGAGACGGGGATAAAAACCGCCTCGGACACGGTGACAAAGAGCCTCGTTTGCAACCTACATGTGTCCCCGCGCTTATCGATTACACCTTTCATAAAATTGCTTGCGGGCATTGTTTAACCGTTGGTTTAACCACTTCGGGGCATGTTTTCACAATGGGAAGTACGGTATATGGTCAACTTGGAAATCCAAATTCGGATGGGAAGTTACCCTGTTTAGTCGAGGATAAGCTTACCGTGGAATGTGTCGAAGAGATTGCGTGTGGTTCATATCACGTGGCTGTCTTAACGTCCCGAAATGAGGTTTACACTTGGGGTAAAGGAGCCAATGGACGGTTAGGCCATGGAGATATAGAAGACCGAAAAACGCCAACTTTGGTCGAAACTTTCAAGGATAGGCTCGTGAAGTATATCGCGTGCGGTTCAAACTACACCGCAGCCATATGTCTTCACAAGTGCGTCTCTGTTACCGAGCAATCTCAATGCTCTGCTTGTAGGCAGGCGTTCGGGTTCACGAGGAAGAGACACAATTGCTACAATTGCGGGCTCGTGCATTGCCACGCTTGTAGTTCAAGAAAAGCCGTGAGGGCTGCTTTGGCCCCGAATCCAAGTAAACCGTATCGGGTATGTGATTCCTGTTTCACGAAACTGAGTAAGGTGGCCGAGGCTGGAGTTAGTAGCAGGAGAAATTCCGGGCCACGCCTCTCGGGCGAGAATAAGGATAGGCTGGATAAGGGTGAGTTACGGTTAGCCAAATTGGGAGTGCCTTCGAACCTTGATCTGATTAAGCAATTAGACTACAAAGCAGCCAAACAAGGAAAGAAAACCGATACATTCTCGTTGGGCCGCTCCTCTCAAGCGCTCTCTTCGTTGCAGCTGAAAGATGTCAGATCCGTGTCGCCTTTCTCCCGGAAATCGAGCCCCCCTCGTTCAGCAACACCAATACCTACAACGTCAGGGCTTTCGTTCTCGAAAAGCATTGCAGACAGTCTGAAGAAGAATAACGAATTGCTAAATCAAGAAATTCATAAGTTGCGAGCACAGGTAGAGTGATATTCGAGCTCTCAAGATTTTTTTTTCTTCTCTTTTACGCTAATTTTCAGCTTCAATTAGCCACAATTTCCCATTTTGTGGTAATTTTCAGGTCGAGAACCTCAGACATCGATGCGAACTCCAAGAATTGGATCTTCAAAAATCAACGAAAAACGCTCAGGAAGCAATGTTTCTAGCTGCAGAGGAATCTGCTAAATGTAAAGCTGCAAAAGAAGTGATAAAGTCGCTTACTTCCCAGGTTAGCGCTTTTTTCCCCTGCAAACTATATTGATAACTGGTAATTTTCGGGGTTTCTTATGCCCCGTTTGAAAATCTTTTGGTATCACTTTGCGATTTCCTTTCCAGCTCAAAGACATGGCCGAGAGATTGCCACCGGGGACTTATGATGCCGAGAGTTTCAAGCTACCTCACCTAGTTAATGGATTAGAGCCGAGCAATCTTAACTGTGGTGATTCAAACGGGGAGCATCGTTCGAGATTTGACTCGGTTGCCAGCATAGACACCGACGTGAATGGAGTAGGGAGTCACGGGGATTTTGGAACTTACGAGGCTAATCCATTCAACCAAGTTCAGGACGTTCCGACCTCCAATGGCGGGGACGATCAATCGAGTGTTAGATTTCCTAAAGGAAGCAATCTTCCCGAACGAGCTGACGACAGAGACCCTGGAAATGGCTCGAGATCTCGAAACTCTGCTGCTCTTGGCAATGATAACCAAATCGAGGCCGAGTGGATTGAGCAATACGAGCCCGGTGTTTATATAACGCTAGTAGCCCTCAGAGAGGGTACTAGAGACCTGAAACGAGTGCGCTTCAGGTATGCCTACTTACCACTATTATGAAAATGTTAATGAAAATGCACATGGGCCAAACTACATTAAAAGATTGAATTCAACCAATTAGCTAGTTTAACTCATGTCCTTATAAACCCATTTGTTCTCTCTTATTTTATCAATGTGGGACTCTTAACACGAAGCATGTAAGAGATCGATTATGTGTTCATGATGTGATTCACGTAACTGCATTGCAGTCGTAGAAGATTCGGGGAGCACCAAGCGGAGAGTTGGTGGTCGGAAAACCGCGAAAATGTTTACAAGAGATACAACGTTAGAGGATCCGACATGTCTTCGGCTTCCAGCCACGTTTCTCGAAGGTCAGGACCGCTCTCTTCGCCCTCCCAAAGCTAAGAAAAAATTAGCAGAGATCTTACTTCTAAACAGGTGTGCTCTTATGAAATAGCCAAAATCCCTTTTCTCTTGCAGCTTCTTTTTCCTTTCCCAATTTTATAATTTTTTTTTCTTGTTTTGATTTGTATTTTTGAGAGCTTATTGCCATTTTCTTGGCCATTGTATTCTACTGTATATAATATCATCAATTGTTGTATTCATTGTGAAAAAAAAAGGCAAAATTTCCTGTACCCTCCCTAGCTGTTTAGACGTAGAAAGAAACTCACAAATCACACTTTTCGTTTCTCAGTTATACCGTTATCACTTTTCGTTCTTCTGGCTTTTTGTGCCTCGGTTATATTGTCACTATTTTTCGTTCTGCAATTGTCTTTTTTGTCATCTTTCGTAATTGGTGACCACTCTGACATCCCGCGGGTGCGTGGATTGATTGAGATATTTGTGATTTATCTATGCAGTAGTTCTAGGGGTGAGATACTATAAACTTTGAATTAGTTTGACAAAATTAAAATCACTTTAAGTATTAATAAAAAAAGATGAAAAAACTTTTTTTTTTTTTTATAATAAAAAATCACCATCAATGGTGCCCTAATTTATGACAGGAATTGCCATTTTCCAATTAAAAATAAAAAAGTAGGAAGAGGCATTATTATGTTGGTTTGACTTGAGCTATCAAACTATTTGAAAGTCAGTTCTGATATACACAAATTGATTATTATATTAGACAGGAGCTAATAAAATGTTATTTTCAACATATAATTCAAAACTACAGTAACATAGCAACAGCAACATAGTACCATCTATTTATGTATGTTATAAAGTGTTTGGTGCCTTTTATATACAAAAAACATATATATTATTCCATTGTGAACAACACTAGGCATGCGCATACATGACTTTTGCACGAGATTCGTTAATATAATTGATTTTTTCCTTTTTTTCCCCTATTTTTTTAAATGATGAAATTGAAGAAAATACAATTAAAAAAATGAGGAAATAATATGGATTTCGGTTTTTTGAGCATATCCTAATAACAAGAACAAAATTATATGGGATAATTCCAGTCGAGTCACTTAGATAGTTATAGTTAGTCTATAAAGTTTTAAATTCAACTCATTGTAAGAGCGGCCTATTGATGGTCTATAGTACCATGTACAACTATGAATAATACAATTTTAAATTATTTTAAATCATATTCAGTTGCCTATAATAATCGAAAAGGTCAGTAAGCAAGTCGAATATAAAATTTTATAATTATCAAATGAACTATTGCAAACCAGGTAGGTGGGGTTGCCTATTTATTAGTAAACTAATGGGGAGGAGACATGCAAAAATGTTTGTTCCACCAAACCATATTGAAGTTTCATTCTTGTGAAAACCAAATTCAAATAATTTTTGAACCACATTTGACATTGCTTAGTGAGTCGTCAGGTACAGAGAAAAACAGTGCTACGACGTTGTCAATTAAGCAGTTGGTTGGGTGATTTGATTTATTTGAACCGAATTGAAGCAGATCAGAGCGCATAGTCGCCCAAGAAATTATACTCCAAGACTTTGTCTAACCTAATACTTAACCAGCTTTTCAACATCATGTCTTCTTCATGCTACCATATTATTCTCATTTTTTGGAGAAACAAAACAAACAAAATTATACCCGGAGTATATATTTTGGCCATGTCGGACCAATACAATTAGAAACGAACAAAGACGTTATGTCATTGGACGAGTTATCAAATGTAGATGTGGATATGGTTCGATTCCAATTTTGAACTGCCGTTTCATGATTCCGAGGAATGAAAAATCACACCCAAACCATTTAGGAAGGTTTCGTTCTAGTTTGAACCGCGGGCTAGAACCTCTTTCTTTCTTTCTTTTTTTTTTTTTTTTTTTTTTTTTTGTAAATTTTTTTTTTTTTATTTTAAAAATAGTCAAAATTTAACAATTTTTGTTTTCTAATTCAGAATCAAATATGAATTGTGTACTTTCTCATAAAGCAAAGTTATTGAATATTTAATTAATAATAAAACATGCATAGTCAACTCAATAAGGGTAGAGGAAGTTGTCAGGTGTAGTATCCTTGTCCAGTTGAACTGTATTCTTAATTGTCTCACTCCTGGAGGCAAAATTTTCAATCTTATTATTATTATTTTTTTTTTTTTGAAAAATAATCTTATTATATTTAATTATATATATTATGTACTTTTATTATATATAAGAGGTAATTTCAATTTTGGTCCTACGATTATAGGTGTCTTGTTAATTTCAGTTTCTGACTTTTAAAAGTGTCAATTTAGTACCTTAACTATGTAATTTTTGTCAATTTTGGTCACTCTGACCAAATTGCCGGCCAAATTTTGTCGGAAAAACTTAATCCTTCATTTAGCCTATAATTTGAGGGGCAAAATTATCTGTTCATTTAGTCTCTTATATATAACAATATGAACGAAGAATCTTCCTTGATGCAAGTGGGTGTGTGTGTAATTTTCTTTAGTATAGTTAGTCCATTTTATTCACTACTTTTTGATACATTCAACATTACTTACCATTTACCAATTCAAGATATGCAATAATGCTTCATTTTCCCTTTTTCTTTGTTAAGACATTATTTATATTTTGGATTTGAAATTTGAGGGACTACATACATCTTTTAGTTTAGTATCAAAGTCAGACCTAACATGCTAGTCAACCCATCGAAATGTAATCGATCCACAAAGGTGAAAGAAAATATTAAACATATAAGGTGCAGTCTAATTATATATCAGTCTAAATCTTTTAATTGAAATAACACATTTTTCAACTTGCACAACCCTAAATTTGAGGAAAGAGTGGAAAAGAACAAAAATGTATATCATTTCTTCCACCTGAATGCACAAGTATTACATGACAGGTAAATCTATCAACCACTTTTTTTATTAATAAAATTTATGATTACTTCTGTGACCACTAGATGAAGTCATCGACAATACTCATCTGCTTCACTGCATGGTAAGTAAGCTCATGCAGTCTTTTGACACTTTCAAATGTTTGCCATAAACTAGAGGTGACCCAGTAATTTATGACATATTCAAGTAGGAACTAATTAATTAATTTGTTTGAAAAAAAAAACATTATAATATTATTGTTTGAATCATGACATCGAATTTTGTTCAATAAACTCAAGACATATAAAAAGACTTTTATCCGAATACACGAATTGTCATCAATTATACTTTTCCAATTACTAGGTACAAAAGAAGGAATGAAAGCATGAAAGCCTGTGACAGCATGCAATAATGATTTTGAAACATGGTACGATCGACAACAAAGTTTGATAGATCAATAGAAATATCATATCATATATATCTGCAGCATTGTATTCATTAATGTCCGATCCCATATATGCATTCATTGCTCTTTTGTATTTTTCTTTAATTTGGACCCTGCAACTTCTCCTCACCTCATTCATCATCATCGAACGGCATGGGTTGTCTCGCCGGTAAGAATGATACGATAAATATATTATTCAAAGAAATTAAACAAACATTTGAGCTGAGTCAATCCAGCCAAGTTAGTCAGACTGTTAACTTAATAATCACAATATTACAAATTCAGTTCCCAGCAGAACCGATCAGCTAGGAGCAATCTAGTTTGGTTTATCTTGTAAGAAAAACCCAATAACATAAATTCAAATACAATCTCAACTCGACCTGGTCCAAAATTTTTAGACCATTAGTGAGATATATATCTATATGTATATATACTTATTGTAACAATGATATAGTCATTGGAGTAGTAAGTAATTAGACTAAAGAATAATACTTATAATAGTTGATTATGACTTGATTAGTTGATCATAATCACTGGATAATCATGCTACTAGCAAGCAATACCTACAAGGCCCTGAGATGAGATTAAGATCGATATTGATCGTTTTCCTTGGCCGGCGGCCGGAGGGAGCTGGGCACGGCCGTGTTAGGCGTTGATGGCGTTGTGCCTCATAGACGGAGCGGACGGCGGGACGGGCGTTCCCTTGGGCAGAGACTCCGAGAAGTTGTAGGGAGAATTATCGGAAGGCCGCTTTCCGGCGCCGAAGGAAGGCCGCACCTTAACGAACTGTGTGTGCCGGGAAGCATAAGCAACGTGACGGCGATGATCGTCCGACATGAACAGGAACAGCAACCCTAACACTACTATGGTTAACTGACAACGTTTTTTACTCATCTCGATCATGTCTATGTTGTTCTGGAAATCTGTTGCCGAGGTTGCAGATAGGGCGGTGTGCAGAAGCGTTTATATATCCAAATTAATGGAGAGAGAGAGAGAGAAGCTATGGCAATATTATTGTATATATAGTTCACTTGTAAAGACGATGAAACGATGATACCCTAAATAAAAATAAAAAGATCGAAAAGGTTTGGTAGAGTTTGCAAGAAACCCAAAAAAGAAAAAGGTAGTAGCAATGTCACATCGAATATTAATATGCTATCATAAATTTTTCTATAGAGCATATACCAATTTTGATCCCATGAGTATGAGCAAAATGACAGTTTTAAATTTTTGATCCACATGTTTAATTCATACTAATTTTTATCCACAATTATTGTTTTAATACCAATTTTCATCTACGACTATTGTTTTAGTGCCAAAATCAATCATGCTGATCACCCATTCGTTTAAGACATGCCAAAATATGAAATTATTACAAGTATTTTTATCCCTTAATTTGAGGAGGAGAACCGTGAATTTGGGATCAATCTTAAGGCTTAAATCTCTTTATTTAAGCTCAAATTGGGATCTTAATTTAAAAAAGACGAAAACAAACTTAATAATTTCATATTTCAACATATCAAGGAGGTGACGCTGTGATTAATTTTGGCACTGAAACAATAGTCGTGGATGAAAATTGATACTAAAACAATAGTCATAGATGAAAATTGGTAAGAATTAAATATGTGGAACAAAATTATCATTTTTTTAATACCCGTAAGACCAAAATTGGTATTTGCTCTTTTTCTATAGAACAAAAGTGAAAATATATATAAATGGAAATTAAAAACAGCTAATGACCCGAGGATGATGAAGACTAGGATTCGACTGGTGAGTTGATTGTAAGACTCGCACTATTTACTTCTACAATGATTTTAGGTGCAAAATCATATCAGCTTATGATTAATCCGGGTGGGATCACCCATGTATTTTTTTTTTTTTTTTTTAAAGTAAAAATATAAAGTGTTGGTAAGTAAAGGTTGACTTTGTAAATTAAAATATATATATTCTGAACCCTAAATTAATATTTACATTAATTGGTTTGACAAATTTTTACAATCATAGTCAAATAAG